TCATTGTGAAACTAGTTTCGAAACTTATCAAAACTAAACAATTTCAAAACTCCTTAGTTTTGGTGACCATCACTAATTGTCATGCAGATTCCACTAGTCATAGGGAGCGTTCAATGACTCATAGCGGGAGATCTAATGATAATAGAAGACATAGTGATATTAATCAAAGTAATGGTGAAACCAGCACAGCTGAAACAAACAGACAAAATCCGGAGCCTCATGAATCAGCTTCTACTGAAAATAATGAAATTAACGCTACAGGGAATAGTGATAATATGGCTAATATGAGTATTGTGGATTAATTAATACTCCAAGAAATAATGATTGATTGCATTACAGTTTTATTATTTTTTTTTTGATATAACCCGCATATAAGTTCTAGTTAATAACCATTTTTGTGCCACATGATTTTAGTACCTTATGTCAATTCAGTAATATACAAATGTTATCAAAAAAGTAATACGTCAAGGTTATCAAAAAAGTAATACGTCAAGGCAGAATATTATAAGGAAAAAGGTAAGATAAATTTGTGCTTTGACGTATTACCAAATAACTGCTAACAATTCGGCACTACGTGCCTCATCATCGGATGCTTTGGCGTATTACCAGATATGTTAACAATTCGGCACTACGTGCCTCATCATTGGATGCTTTGGCGTATTACCAGATATGTTAACAATTCGGCACTATGTGCCAGGTTTGGGCATAGCCCTCACATCAGGCCCACAAATGACAATATATGACTGAATGCATCGTCAGATATATTTTTTACCCATGTAGCCTAATGGCAGAAATCGGCCACAATTACCAAACCAGTATACAAATAATGTTATCGAATTTGGGTTATAATAAAAAACGCAGAAGGACACTGACGACGGTGTCAGATTTTTGTTGTCATGACACATGCGGGATGACGACACAAACACAAATCTGTCAACACATTTTTGTGGGTCATGGGTACCCAAGTGTGATGACGAACTCGTAAACCAATCGTCACTCGAATGACGACATATACACGATCTCGTTGTCACACCTGAGACTATTATAGTCTAATCTAAGTCGTATTTAGTTTATATAAACTAAATACGACTATTGTGATAACATGGGTGCACTACAATTATTCAAATTAGTATGGTTAGTGTAATCACAATATATGTAATTGCAAAAAATGTTTGTAGATGGTTTCCTAGAAGTAAGGTTGCTTGCCAAAACTCATCCAGAAATCAATCAGCAGGGTTTCAGCAGGTTACACATTAATTGTTTATTAGAGTTTTGGCAGAGTTTCGCATTTTGAGGTTTCGCCATTTCAACAAGCTTGTCCCCCGTAATCAAATATCAAATGTTGCAATGTTGCAACAATCTGCCTCTTTTGTTGCAACAAAACCGTAATGTTACAACATACCCGTAATGTTGCAACATACCCGTAACTTTACATATTATACATAGTGTTGCAACATAAACACGATGCAGTTAGACCGCTTTTAAAACATTCTTATTATTATAAGCATAAACACAAAAAATTTGAATTCGTTTATCTATTCATCATCTAATTACAGTAAATAAGAATGTGGATCTCCATTTTCGTATATATCGCTTTTCTTGAAGATGGTTGATATCCAGGATTTAATGCTTATAAAAAATCAATGAAAAACGAGGCGGAAAGGTAATGCGTGATTCTTCTAAATCAACTGAACAAAAATAACCATCAATATGATGTTGTCCAGAATGTTCAAGAGTTTAGAAAATGTAGACTTTGTAAAATAAATTCATTTATTTCATTTTTGATATATGGTTCAAATGTTTTTGAATGTCTGAAAAAAATAAAAATAGGATTATCTTAATAAACAGGCCACTAAAGAATGTATTGGTAAAGATGGATTTTTCCATACCGGAGATGTTGCTTTTATTAATGAAAATGGTAGATTATTGTAATATCATAAAATAAAATATTCTCTTTTATTTTTTTGGTTGATCGTGTAAAAGAACTTATCAAATATAAGGTTTGCCATTTTTCTTTTTTTCTAATCAATTTTTCCCATCACCATCACCTCAAAAAAATTTTTTAGGTCTATCAAGTTGCACCTGCAGAACTCGAATCAGTCCTACTTACTAATCCCATTATTTTCGATGCAGCTGTAGTTGGTATATATTCAGAACAAGACGCGATAGAATTACCAGTCGTCTATGTTGTACTACCAATGATCACCAACAAAACCCAAAAACTAATTCAAGATCATGTAGCTGGAAAAGTTGCTCCTCATAAAAAATTACGTGGCGGTGTCTAGATTATTGATAAGATACCTAAAAGTCCTTCTGGGAAAATTTTGAGAAAAAATTTGAGAGAACGAATTAAGAGTGAATGGGTTCGTCCTGATGATCTTTTTAAGTATAAATAATTTATTTATACCGTGACTTTGTCATTATAAATAGCCTGTTATCAATTTCTCTATATATAAAAGTTAGATACTTGAAACATTTTCAATTTCAATATTTATATTTTGTATTTCAAAATAATAAATTTGTCACGGGAATTTTATCCTTGCATTCTTCTCAAAGTTGCACACAGGGTGAGAAATCCTATTACAAAATTTTAGTATTAGGCAACATAACTAAAATTTTTAGGTTCTCATCACTAAAAATTTTCAAATTGACCTGGTGTCCTGGGCTTTATAGGCCATCACTAAACTTTCGGGCAGTCCAGCAACTGTCCCTGGTCAAAAATGTAAATTTACATTTAAGATTACTTTAAAATTGATGTAAGTGGCTAATCTAAGATTACTTGCTGAAGCCTCTTAATGACTGCTGAAACTCTAATAAACAATTATTATGTAACTCCGCCAATTGTCAAAACCCCCAATGTGAAACTCTGCCGAAATTCTAATAAACAATTAGTGTGTAACATGTCAAAACTGCTGATGGAGTTTTGGAAAGCAACCATAGTCCAATCAATGTCCTATTCATTGATTTGTTAGGTATCATCCATCTTTCTAAAAACCATTTGAACATTGATGTCGATTTAGATATTGATTTTTTTTCCATATTTATTTATTTTATATATTTTTAAAAAGTATTAATTCGGATCGTCACCTATTACTATTACTATATTTTCGCGTGAAAAAAATACATTTTTCCAATTCCTTTTTAAAAAAATAGAACTTTATATGCCTGTTTGTGAGAAATTTTACTCTTTGTATAAACTTACAAAATGGCTTGTAGTCAAGGTGCTCCTATGACTTGTACTATATCAAAAAAAAAAAAGAATTAAAGCAAAGGAAGAAACCAAATGTTCAATACCAAAATTGTCACGTGTTGGTTCTGGTAGAAGTAAGTAGGGTTGTTCATATAAACAATAATGCTATTTTTAATACTTTAGTAGAAAAAGAATTAACCAAAACCAAAAAGTCACCAAGAATCCTGAATCAGAAGACCTATTTAATTCTAAATAGTAATTTTATACCTGTGGGACTTCAGAACTTGTTAATAACTGCGATTGAAATATAAAAAATATATACACTACAGCACCGAGTTCCCAGTTTCCAATATATTAAAAAAATTTTTTTTTTCTCTTTTGTAAGTATTTACATACCTCTCATATCTCAGACCTTTTGATATTGATCATAAGCAAATTTTTATCCTCTTTAAAGGCTTCGATCTTTTTGTTAACAAAACTCTGCTGTTATTTCACCTATAAAATTATGAGATCTCGAGAATCTTACATTGGGTGTATATATACCCTTTAATCTGCAATTTTCCATGAATTATCTATCCATCAAAGCTCCTAAACCAAAAAAGGTTATTCATGAATGTAAAAAGAGGCTTCAACGGACTTCTCAAAAAGGAAAGTGCAAAAACCTAGTACTAGTACTAGACGACTCTTGAATTTTTCGTTTCGATCAGATTAACCTTCTTTTAAATATTAGATATTAAAATAATTATAATGATTTTAAATAAGTATTTAATATAAAGTATTGAATAAAGCGATCAAAGAAATGTCGAAAGGCTTCAAGTATTATTTGTTAATCCATCATGTTTCCATGTTCGTTGAGAAGGGGGCTTTTAAGTACAAGTATCTTAAGCCCGCAGATCCTTGTCGCAAATCTTTCTTCTTAAAATGTTCCATTGTGAAATAATTAATATTAATAATTCTTTTTATAAAAAAAATCTCACATAAATGAAAAATTTCAACTGATATTCTCCTTCTACACATTTAATACGTTCACATATAAACATAAACAAAAATGATATTAATTCTAATTGCTATTATTATTGAAATTGCTATATTTGTCATATGTAAGAAACGAAAAGCATGTTCTACTGATATTGGGACAATCACGAACCAAAAAACATTCCGCGATGTTGGTGTACAAACCAACGACGACTTTTTTGAAGAATATTCATTGTTACCAAGTGAGAATAAAAGCCATGATAGTAGTACAGCTAATTTGGGCACTTGTATGGATCAAAAAGACGAGTTACCGCCTAAAACAAATGTTAATGATAATGCCAAATCTTTAAAAGACAATGATGCTAATGCTAAAGATTCAAATTATCAAGAAGCTGCCGATTTTGAAAATAAACCAGATCCTAGTGTTGATGTTGCAAAAATTAATGATCCCAAGAATGTCTCATTGCAAGAAATCCATGATGAACCTGTTGATATTTCTGATTATGAAGAATCTCGTATGGATAATGATAATATTGAACCCGAATCCGAAACAGTTGGTGGCGATGTTGCAAAAATTAATGATACCAAAAGCGCTAGATCACATGAAAATCATGATCAATATGTTGGCTTTAGCTCTGATTATAAAAAACCTTGGATGAATAAAGATATTGGACCTAAATCCGAAACAGTTAGTTGTGATCATCAACAACAGATCTCAAATTATCCAATTACCGATGATAGTAATTTTGATTGGTGCAATGAGGCTTCTAGAAGTGTTACATTTCAAGAAGCTTATGACAACAGACTTAATAAATTAGATAACAATGTTTGGGAATCAAACAATGAATATGATGATAAAAACAATCATTGGCTAACGAAAGCTTCTATGTTCGGAGAAGAATTGAAAAATTCTACAAATAACTATTATAGAATTAGAAATGATAGACCTCAAAGTAAAGGCAAAGCTCCCATTTATACTTCACAAAGGAACAATTCACAACCGCAACAATGCAATCAACACTATAGCAGCACCAGTGGAAATTATTATAATGGTAATAATATTGGATGCACCAAGTGCAATTCAAGCAAGCATCTCACTATTGACTGCGAAATAGTATTAACAAAAAATTTGCTTATGATTTTAAGAGGATCTTTTGGAGAAAATTTTTATAATGATTATTTAAAAAATAATGAGTTTTATAAGTAGTAAATTAGCATATTAATAAAATGTTATTTATGTATTTTTCCTTATTGCATATAAATTAAAACTTATATTGGAAGATTTAACAGTCATTAGTCAAAATTATTCTTGAAAAAATCAATTCTGCTAATAAGTTTAGTTTAAACCATATAGTAGAAATATAATATCATGCTTTCATTAATTTCTCTAAATCTTCATTTCTATCTGATAAATCTTATTAAATGAATTTCCAACCACTTCAACAAAATCAACTTGTATATTTTCTCCATGTAAATTAAGATGGATGATTCCATCATGCTCAAAACCAATTTTCTGATTTTAATTTGCTTTGTTAGCTTTATTTTCTGAAACTCATTTATTGAATTCTCCAGTTCGCCACTAGTACAAAATATGTAAACAATTAGGTTCATCTAATTAAGAATAGGTTCACAAAAATTACTTACATTTCAATCCAAAACAAACACTCACATCATGAAATACTTTAGCAAATATAGGGTATATTATTTCTTCCCTATATTTTAGTTCTGATGAACCAGGGTTGGCAAATGTGCAGTCCATTGGGTCCATTAATGTAACACTTTAACCATATTTAGTGTTTTACTATGGCAAACCAGTCAATTTTCCAACCCTGTGATGAACTGCTATTAGTAATGGTCTTTTTTTCTAATAAATTTGGTAATTTTGATGTGTAAATAATATTGACAAAAATCAAAAAGATCAAAAATTTCACACAAAACTTACAAAATAACATAAGTTCTTTGCCCAAAGTGATTCATAGTCATTCCTATGGACATAATTTGTAAAAGGTTTTCTTTCATATAATTCTGTGAGAATAGCTTGAAGATCAACAACAAGATCAGCATCATCTAAATACTTTTTATTATTTTGTGATATTCATTAACCCAGGGTTGGCAAATGTGCAGTCCATTGATGGTCCATCAGTGTAACACCTTAACCATATTTAGTATTTTATTAATGGCAATGGACCAGTCCAAAATTCATCAGTTCTCAATGGACCAGTCAATTTGCCAACCCTGCATTAACCAATAACTGCTTTTACAACAAAAAAGTTTAACAAACATATTAATTATATTTATTTTTTGTGTGCATATTTGACATCCAAATTTCAAAATGAAAAGAAAGATCAAAAGATATGATAATTGTGAGAAGTTATTACCTTTATATAATATCATTATTAAATATAAATAATCAAATTAATCTAAACATTTATATCCATTAGATGAGAAACTATAATTTATAACATCATAATGTTAATATTGATACTAAATTTTAAAATTAATAATTGAATAATTAATGATAATTACCATTATTATTACTAATAATTGTTACTTTATTGGAATTCACAGGTTGGGGGAGATTTGTAAAATTTAATAATCTACTAGTATAAACTGCATTTGGATGAATTGTTGTAGTAATTGTTGAAGGATCAAATTTTATTTCATCCATTTTATCAAATTCTTTTTTAATTGATTCATATTTATCCCCTGACCTATAATGTTGAAATGCATTAACCCAAACTCCAATAATCTCATAAATTTTTTTAGCAGTTGGGCGTTTATCTGGGTTAACATCCATGCATTTGAATGCTAGTTCAATATAGAATCTTGGTGTATTGTTTGAGAATCCAGGTCTTACACCTTCACATATATTCATTGCAAGTCCTGCATCATGTGCCAAATTATTAAAAGGTTGTTGACCAGTTGATACTACAGACATCAGAACTCCAAAACTGTATACATCTGATGCTTTTGTATATGGTTTCTCTTTTAAAACTTCTGGTGCAATACTCCACATATATCATTTTTGTCTGATGATGTTGTTTGACTAACTGGCATGATAATCCTAAGTCTGCAATATATGAATACTGTTTTTCCCATTGAAGAATATTACCACTATGAAGATCATGATGAATAATTTCTTTTTCATGAATATCTTTTAAACCTTTAATAATTTGATTAATAATATCAATTTTCTGCTTCCATTTTAAATTTTTAAAATCTTTAGTTAAATAATTTTGGAGACTTCCATCATCCATATATTCCATTACAAATATATATTTTTTTGTAATTGGATCTTGTGTTAATCCATAAATATGAATTATATCTTCTTTATCATAAAACTTTACATAATTTTTGAACTAAATAATAAATAAAATATTAATTACAACAATAATAATTGATATCTAAATAAAAAGAAAAATAAAATAATTACCTCATTAAGAAATTCATCAGTTTTTTTAATACCACAATCCTATCTTCACTAGTTCTTTTATTTCCATCAGTACTTTTATAACCATTTAACCAAGTAGCTTTAGATATAGTTGCAAACCCACCTCCACCTATCTTTTCAATATTTGTTAAATCATTATAAGGAATCCACTGAAGATAACTATCATTCCAATACTGAATTGCTTTAAGTTGTGTACTTTTAATCAACTCATCTAATGTTTCATTGCCACTAGTCCATCCTTCAGTCAATAGCTTTGGATCACATGATTGACACCATGCCTTATTAGTATTATATCTATTGCAAGTTGGACATTCCCCATAATATTTTTTTCTTTCCTTTGAATATTCATCATTTTGAAGACTTCCATCTTCCATGTGATGCATTACAGAGATATATTCTTTTGTAATTGGATCTTGTGTTAGCCCATAAATATAAACTTTATCATGATACTTTGTATGATTTTTGAACTAAAATAACAAATAAAATACTTAATAATACTTGAAAATCTGAAAATAAAATAGAAAAATAAAATAATTTACCTCATTAAAAAATTCATCAGAATTATTTGTGAATTATGTAGTTTTTTAATGCCACAGGCATATCCTTGCTAGTTCTTTTATTTTCATAATTTACAATTTTATGACCATTTAGCCAAGTAGCTTTAGATATAGTTGCAAACTCACCTTCATCTATCTTTTCAATATTTGTTAAATCATTATAAGGAATCCATTGAAGATGATTACTATAATGATACTTAGTTGCTTTA